AGCTACATCGGCCCCTAACCCAGTCAAATGAGTCGGTGGAGGCTGAGGGAATATAAAAGGATAACGTCTCCTCAAGAGTTTCGAAATGTAAACCTAATAGCTTACAATGCAGGGTGAGCGGTAACAGGTCAAATGTGGCCAGAGAGAGTCCTTTGAGTGGAATGTATATTCTATATTTTGTCCGTGCATGTGAGCAGATTTCTGTTTCTGCCTTGAATTCGTGTGTTCAGTTAATTTGGATCCTGAAAAATATGTGCCACGGCCTTGCATGGCATTCATCACTTGCAAGCAGCTTTGCGTCATCGCATTTCTCATCAGTTAAAAAGGTTTTCAGTTCCTTCTGCAATTCACACAAGTGCACCACTTTTCTGCGAGACAACCACTCTGCTCCCATCTCCTCACATAAAGTAATGAATAAACTGTTTTTCAGATGCCATATTTTGACAAATGCACAACACCATCACAACACATCAGCTAGGTCTGCTGGTGACCACAACATGCACGTGCAGAGAAGGGGGGGCCATGGGTGCTTGGGCACCTGCCCTTTTGCCCTTTGATGCCCAAAGTGCAAAATTTAATTAATTAATACGTTTTTTAATTTGTAAAGGCCATTTCGTGAAGGTCTGCCCAGTTAAACTGTTAGTAAAATGAATGAATAATAATTTCCCAGTAAATAAAATGACCCACATGATGACCTTTCACCTGATGACCTCATCTGTGACGAGCCCTCCCGTTCAGACACTGTTAGTGATTCAGCAGCTCTGCCTGCAGGACACCTTTGATTCCGCCGTAAGTGGGGTTTGCCACAATGTGCTTGTTGTGGGTTGTTGGAGGTATTTTACAAGGAAGACGCAAAGACAGCAGCACAGTTGTTGTGTATATTTCTGTGCGTCGCCGGTATAAGTGACGTTAGCTGCCGGCTAACACTGTGCCGACAGCTAACTTTACTTCTACACACAGATAAACAGAGGTGCTCAGTTCACTTCGTTCTTGCTGTTTGAGAAAAGTTTCACGGGCGTCGCGAGGTCTGGTATTTTTATGTAAATTGACTCAAAACCTTTCACTTAAACTAGGATTATTACAGTAACTTAATAAAAACGTAGTGTACCTTAAAACAATTAATTTAATCATTTAATTCAGCACAGTGTTGGAATAGATTTAGCCTACATTTGAACTGTTTACAACAGCAAACCTACTATCTAAAACTAAATGACTGTAAATACATGTAATAATGTCAGCATCAATGTAAAATAAATAATATTTCTGAAGAAATGGCTCTATATAGATTTCAGACAAAGGTATGAAATGTTAATGTGAAAGGTAAATGGTGCTCTGTCATGGTTATTATGGGCCAACAGAATGAACACACACATTGTCTATAGATTTGTCTCACTGTAAGAGCCTTGGCCAACCTCGTCCTTTCTCCCAGTTCTGTATCCTTCTCAGATTATTTCCCACACTTTTTTGAATCTGGTATATTGTTTCCTCTCCCTGTAGCTCTCGGTGCGCAGCAGTCTCTGTGAGCATCTCCCTCTTACTGTGCTTTCAGACCAAAAGCGAAGCGAGCGTTCGGGGTGGTGAGTTTACATACAAAGTCAATGCAAAGATCCGTAAAGCTTCAATTTCCTGTTGGGCGGCGCAAAGGGGGCGGTCCCGGTGACGCGAACGCGAAGGCCTTCGCGTGAGTTGAAAATTTCCAACTCGAGTGAATTTTCAACCCCTCAGCAGCAACTGTTCCCTGTAAGTTGTCAGCCCACAGTGTTTTAACGCTAGAGCTGGGTATTCCCCGTGTTTCTTTTTCAAGACTACGTCACAGCATTTGCTGATGTATCGATACAGAAGCATCTGTATACACGTATCAGCAAGGGATGCACCACAATATATTTCTGTATCGATATTTGGAGAACAGCCCCATTTTAAATCCTTGTTCCATGTGCCCCTTTTATACTTTGAGCACCTGCCCTTCCAAAGTTCTCTGCACAGCCCTGGACCACAACATCTGGGTTTCTCTCACTCACTCACAAAGCCCTTGGTGAATCTGAACAATAGCTGCTGCTGCTACATTTGATGTCTGCACACGTCACCAATGAGTCTGGCAATCGAGTCATCCAAGAGAGGAACTTTGGTCACATTTTGGTCACATTTTGTTTAACGTCATCTGGGTTAAGCATCTTGTTCAAAATGGCTTTTACAGTAATATTAATGTGTCAGCCACAGTGTGTGGCTTTTTTGATTTGGTCCTGAGTTTAGCTTCTTGGAAGCTAGCTTCAAACACTCTCTCAGACACCTTTGCGGCATTTTTCTTCAAAGCTGCCTGTTTTTCAGTGTGATCCCGCAAACAAACAAAATACTCTTCTTGCTTTGGAGTGACAAATTTCGTTTTCGTTTTCAAGCTTGCTAGGGACCATGGCACTTTTGGATAGCTTTTACCCCACATACTAAGTGTCACTGTATTGCCTCGAGTTCACCATTTTGGCTTTCTTTTGATCTCCACTTGTAGTGGACTGGAAAGACTTTGATCAAGATCCAGGATCTGTATTTTTATTGATACTGCTATCGAGTCTAGCGGGTCCCATAATGTAACGTTATGCCTCGAGAGTAAAGTCATATCATTTATATCAAATCTGAGTGAATGAATAAGAAAACTAATGTTCTGTAGTGATGGGCCCTGAAACTATATTTAACAGGCCCAGGGCTGAAGACCGCAGTGTTTATGACCAGGCTGCAGCCTCTGCTCTCTGTGTTGGCTCCTGTATACACACATACACACAGCGGCCAGCAGAGGGAGAGGCCACAGTGAAGATAGTGAAGTGAAGGTAACTAAACTGCTCGAGCTGACGACAGCTACGCACAATACTGTCAGTACATGCAATAAAACTTTTGTGAGTAAAAAGACAATACTTTATCAGTACATCTGTTCAACAAGCATAAATATTTAGAAAGCGTTAATTTAATCTGCTCGGTCTACCATCCATGTTTTATACTAGCATAGTGCTGCTAATGTTAGCCAAATGTTACAAACAAGCTAAATTGAAAGCTGTCTTTTACGTTGGGTTGCCACGTAGCTTAAAATTTGTCACATTGTTGAAAACTCAGCTGCTGGCTGAGAGAAACCACCTGCTCATCTCTACCAGGTAAGGTTACCTGCAGGCAGCGAATAACAGCAGCGAGGGAGGAGGGACTGATAACGACTGATGTCTGGGTTCTTCACTCTTTCTAAAGGTCACTCAGTAATGTCATAACAATGTCATTAAGTTTATATTGTGACTTTGTAAACTTTAATGCTGCTGCTCTAGAAACAACATTTAGTTGTTTTTAAACTATACAATTCTAATCTTGTAATTAATTTAAAAACAATCTGGCAGCTAATATGCACACTTTATTATTTGTTTATTTATAGCAAGTCATATCAGCCGTCCTCACAACCTCGTCTGCTTCATTTCTCATGTGGTCAGTTGGTGGTTTGCTCGGGTGGCTGAACGTGCAAAGTGGTCAAAGGCTTGGCTACATTTTTCTAAAGCCAAAGATAAGGAGCAAGTGAAATGCCATTTATGTTCCAAATAAATTTCTTTTAAGGGTGGAACAAATCATCAGTGGGAAAATCTCTCTGTTTGTTTGTAGAGTCCATATAGGTACTTTAAAACATGATAACCATATCAAATGAGTAGTTTTACTGTTTTTTGGGGGCCAATCATTGTTTTTGCCTTTATCATCCTTTGAGTCTATTCTAAGAGATATGTTGATTTTTTCAGTCAGGGCTATCCAGATCTGCCATCATTTGACATGATATTACATTTGATGTTTTATATTAGCCTTCATATTAAGGGAAAATATTTTGTCTAACTAGAATTTGCCACCTTGGGTGGTACCTGCAGGAGATCATTTTGGCCTGGGCCCTTGGACTATAAAGCACCTCAATATTGCGCATCAGTTAAAGAAAAATGCAGAACCTTCGACTGTCTTCTATGTCATTAACAAGCCTCCTCCACATGTGGTGCACCTGCTGCAGTAAAAATGGAATCGTGGGTGGAAAGATCCAAAAGACGAGTTGTGTCTTTTCGGCGGCTGTATGAAACACACTGCTGATGGAGAGAGTCAGCGGAGCAGACACATTCAGGGAGAGAGAGACAGGAAGAGGCGGGGCAAGCCGCTGTGTTTGCAGTAAGAGGCAAGAGATGTGGGTGTGTGCGTGGGGGAAAAAGAGGGAAGGATAGGGAGCAGATTCAAGATGTGATTTGACTAAAATAAGGTGGAGAATGAAGTAGAATTAAAATGGTGAAATAAGAAATAAGCTACTAGAAACTGAAATATGCCCCCACTTACCAAACCAACAATCAGCTGTTTTTCAGTGTCTGACTACACCTGAATACATGAGCAGTTTCAGTGTGAATCCAGCAGCAGCAGAGGAGCAGTCAGACAATAAATACAAATATATTTTATTTATGAAATCTTCCTGAAGCAAACAGATGGCTCAGATTTTATTTTTCATGACTGCATTTGATTCTGGATGTGATTCTCTGTCCCTGAGAGAGTCTGCAGACAGGAGGGTTTCTGTCAGTGGAGGAATGGATGATTTTTTATTCTATTGTATTTATTTTTTATTGCTTTGGGGATGTCAGGCCGTTAACCGTTTACACTCAGGATTTCTTTATTCTTTCCCTTGGGAGCTTTGAGAAGGGATATGGCTTCGTTTTTTGTTTTTTTTTACACAACAGAGTGCTGAAAGCATGTGTGTGAGTTCTTATACTTATTCTCTGTGAGGACTTAAGTGAGTTTGGACAGTAAGGACATTTACTCCAGTCCTTTTTATGGTACAAGAGTGTTTTAGTGTTCATGATAGAATTAGATTTAGGTGGAAGGCTCCACCTTTGCCTGGTGTTTTAAAAAGCCAACTATATAACGTGATTCAAGTTTAATGAGGGACCTTTGCTGTACGACTTCCCCTTTCTCTCCCCCGTTTCCTGTCCCCTCTCTACTGTCAAACTTGTGTGTTGGCTCACCCAGTACACTCAGCCCTGCGTGTGCAGTGATGTTGTGGTTCTTGTTGGTGGCTGTACAGCTGTAACTGCCAGAGTCGTCATCAGTGACACTCCTGATGATCAGATTACTGCCCGCCAACAGAGAGTACTTCTTATTCCTACAGAGGAAGGAATAGTGAGGTCATTTTGTTTGCATGTTTGTTTTATCAGTTGATAACGAATAATAAAATATTGAAAAACATTTTTTGAAAGTTAGCTTTGCTACTTAAAGGATAATTCCGGTTAATTTCCTATTTTTCTCAAAAATCCTGGGAAAAGAACAAAAAATAACAATGTATCAATCTGTCCCTCAGTACTTTTAGACTTTCTGAGTGTGTATACACCTATTGGTTCCTAGTGAAGATGTAAATCATAAAAACAGCTCACACATGAAGTACATACTGTAGATTCATCTTTATAAAAGGATCAGTAATTTCGCACAACAGCTGGACGCTATATTTTGTAGCAAACATTACTCAAAGGGGAAGAAATAGTGCATTAAATAGAGACTATGTTCAGCTGTCGATTAATACATGTCAAAATGAACTACAGTGTGTGTGTTCACGGTGATTAAGGAACATGCCATTGTGCAACAGTGAGGCTCACTGATGTGTTTTATGTGTTTCTGGACAATAATGGCTCTCTGGCTCAGAGATCATGTGATGTGTGGACAATAATAAAACTATAATATGCTATCACTATGCTTTTACTAATGACCCGGTCATGCTCGGGTACCTGTAGGGCTCCAATGGGAAAAACTCTTCAGAGATGCTGGTTGTTACATATGGATTATCTTAGGCTAATGTGTAATAGAGACACATTCAAACTGAAAGACGGTTAGACAGACCAGCTCTGGATCAGTTCCTCTCCTCTCCTCCATTGGATGCTCGGAGTTGGGTATCCGGAGGCAGAACATTCCAGCACGGCATCGGTTCCCAGCAGAGCCGTTACTCTGGATGGACGCTGGAGGAACTGGAGGTTCCTGCTCACCCCAGGCTCTGGGAAAGACAGACAGAGGGATATGGGAGTGAAAAGCTGTACCTGAATGGTCCATATATTATTGTGGATTATATATACATATACACACATATATACACACACACACACACACACACACACACATATATATATATATATATATATATATATATATATATATAGCAGCTCTGTAAAGCTGTAATGCTGAAAAGTATACAGTAAGATGGTTAAAAGTCAAGGGCAGTGACTTATGGTACTGCTCAGTCTTTTCATCAACACAAAGTAGCACTGAACACAGCATACAGTTACGGCTGATGTAAATGGCATTAATTTAATTTAATTAAATTGAAGGTATTTAAAAATATAAAAAAACCTGATACACAAATCAAACATTCAGAATGTGAGCAGTGGAGTAAATAACAACAACGTCCCAGTCTGTGAAACGCAAGGAGGAACCTGGTACCAAAGCATCACAAGGTTTTTAAAAATACACAAATACATAGCCAAGAAATCTGAATCTGATTTGCAAGCCAGATGTGGCAGCACTCCTCTGACAGACAAACCAGCTGATGTCACACTGACATGGATGAATCCCAAAACTATCTCAGTGTTATCTTATTTTTTTTAGTTGACATATCAGAGCTCATCTAAAAAAGAGTGAGGCCTGAGGAACACACACACACACACACACACACACACACACACACACACACACACACACACTCCTGCAGCGGTCAGGTTGTGTTTTGCCCTCAGGTTGGCCCGAGGGCTGGAAGGTTCTCAAAGAACGACGAGAAGATTTCCTTCAGGAGACAGGAAGTTACATCAACACGCCCCACGGCACTGACATGCACACACACACACACACAGTCACTCGCGCACACACAGACACACGCGCACACACACACACACACACACACACACCATTGACGTGAAGTATTCTGGTAATCCTCTATTAATCCTCCACTTTAAATGAGCATTTGGTCATTTAATCTCATTTCTTCAGGCTGACATGAATCAAACTTACATTTCAGGAAGTAATTGAAGAAAATAAAAGCATTAACGTATGATTAAAAAAAGAACAAGTTGTTTCACCATGTACAAGTCACACTTGATGTTTAAATCTTTTAAGTTTCACTGTATATATATGATATTAAATGCTTTTATAATATATATATAGTGCATGACCTCAGGCTTCAGGAAGAAAAAACAACAGAGACAGAAACAGAAAATAAGGACATCAGCAGAAACTGCAGCAGCGCACATGAGGAGACAAAAGAAGAAGAAGCAGGAGAAACGCCCACACAGCAGATTTTGTTTGGTTAGTCACAGAGAAGAGTAAAGACTGAGGGATCACAGAGATAATCACTGAACGACAGTGTGACTCTTTTAATGTTTCCACGGACACGCCACCAAAGGAGGCTGTCAGCAAATTGGATGACACACCGCTGGCATTACAATGAGGAGGAACACACACATACCCAAGTAGACAAAGACACACAACATCTGTATGGAAAGCCTCTGAAATGTTGACATGAAGGTGAACTGTCTGATTATTATTGCACAATTCATCCAGTTACAAACCTTCATTCAGTTCACTGCACAGTGAAATAGGCTCTTAGGACCAGGAAGGTCATTATGTCATTATTGTCATTAGGTTATTATTCTGATATGGTTGGGGTCTGAACTTGTTACCTTGTTTGAGTTCTCAATTCAAAATTGAAAAAAACACGGTGCAGAAACATCATCAGCTTCTTCCAGCCACACAACTGAGCAGCTGGTTGATTTTTCATCCGCATAAATTCCCATTCCAGTTCTCTAGGTTCTACCCAATGCTCCCTAAAAATACAAACTATAGTTACTATAATCTCTGTTATCGCCATCAGTTTGAATATTTCCAATTTTATTCTAAGAAATCATAGAAATCATCAGGTCAGTATGGTGGATTGCTCTAATACTACAATACCCATGAGCCTCTGCGCAGCCTTCGCTATGGAAAGAGAAGCCAGTCAGGTGATCTGACAGTGAACTGATTTGAACTGTTAATGTTAAAGTTTCTACAAAGTTTAATCTTTAGCTTCAGCTGGCTGTTAAAGGAGAAAGCAACATCATTTTAAAGTTTCACATCTGTTCAGGTTTATCTTGAAACAATACTCACATTTCCATCATTAATCTGATTGCTTCATGAAGACTGACTCTACTACTCTCTACAGCTGTTTTGGCCAGGTCTCTCTTGGAAAAGAGGTTTTAAATCTCAATGAGATCATCTGGTTAAATAAAAATAAATATAAAATCTTACTACTGGACAAAGCAGAAAGTAGGACAGGAGTCAAAGGTCAAACAGACAGAGATGCAGTATCTAGAAATGACACATGGAAATCACATTGTGCCATCTGATAATCTCTGACCTTTGACCTCTGAGCCGTTCTGATGGCTTCATCTGATAAAAACTTTATAAAGTCAAAGTTAATAAAATCTTTATGGAGTCCAAATCATTAAAGCTTAATCCATCTGTTCCATTAAAACTTCATGCAGATCAAAGAGAAAAAAAGAAAAGGATTAAACTGGAAACCTCATGGCAGTATGGTGAGAGAATGTGCTCTCCCTTTAACAGCGTCATGTTAACAGCATTACAGCGTGAAAACCATTACAGCTTCATCAGTCTGATCCGCAAATGGAAACCAGAAGATCTACTACAGTGTTTAGTAAAATCATCTTTCTTAAAGGGATGAATGTGGATGTTAACGCCGAAGAGTTTTTGTAGGTTTAGAAAAGAAAGCTTTTTTTATACACCTTTATACTACGTACGTACTTTTTTATTTAGGTTGTTTATTATTTAGCTAGTATTTAATGTTATTTAGTCTTCATTTTAAATGTAGTTATTTATGCATTCATTTGGATATTTTTTACTATATGGTTTATTGATTTATTAATTTTAATTTTTATTCAAATGTATTTTTCTTTTTAATTTATTTCTCAATTATATATGTATCCATTTGTAATTATTTTATTTACTATACGGCTACATATTTTGTATTTAATGTGAAATATCGTTATTTATGTCAATTTTAACAATACTTATTTTATGTTTAACCTTTAATTATTTAGTTTTATTGATTTACTCCCATACTGCAGGCAGGCTTAGTCAACTCACAGCAAGAAGGTCCTTGGTTCGATTCCCAGTCGGGACAGGGCCTGCATGTCCCCCCTGTGTTTACGTGGGTTTCCTCCGGGTGTTCCAGTTTTCCCCCACCATGTACTGTATGTTGGGATAATTCTCCTGTCAGTGCCCTTGACCAAGGTACTGGCTTAGAGAGTTGGTCCCTGAGGCTGGGCACAGTGGCTGTCCTGCTCTTAATACTTAATGCAGAGAAATGCATTTTGAGGCTAAAGAATGACCTTGGAGCTTTCCCTCCTAAACCTTGCCTCCGGGACGCCACTTGACCAGACAAGGATTAACTTGTGAAAAGCTGTAGTAAAGTATTTTTTAGCTGTATGGGTGGGAGGGCAATGATGAAAAGTGGAAATACAAAGCACGCGTGATTATCCTGCTGAAGGTTGACGCTTCGGCTCCAGGGAGTCCCCGCTGGGATCGAGCACTTCGTGAGCCTTTGTCAAAGTGGCGTTTAACCAGGGAGAGAGCTAACCCGAGCTGTAGTCAGAGTGATGAAGTGGACGGTGTATGGACTCGTATAATTGGACGGTGTGGAGTGTATGGAACATCAGCGGCTGACGGACTCCCTGCAGACTGATGAGAAGCTGCTTCCTCTCAGCCCACGGACACATTATTAAAATCACATCTTACACTCTATATATTCATTACATCACATTTCATTTTTAAAGGAGACATCCAGCACTGGGAGGGAATAAAAAAAATTACGGCCTGACAAAATGATAACTGCAGAGAAGTAGAACTCACCATTAAGTAATACTGCTGGTGCAGTACTTCACTGTAACAAGACTGGGAATCCAAATCAGTCTGGGTTTGTAGGTTGATAACACAAATAACATTTCAATTATGTTATAAATGTCCAGAGAGTGATATGTTATAATATTTCATGCCGGATATTCCAAGTTAGGTCTATCCAGACACAAAAGACTCCATCAACACTATTGTGGGACGTCAAAAGTCTCCACTGAAACCATAAAATTAAACTATTTTAGACTCAGTAGCTCCTTAAGGCACTAACTGAGCATGAAGACCTCACATATGTTGTATGGATCAATAAACCAAGCAGCTGTGTGTTCGATCTGTTACCTGGGAGCACTCGTAGCTCGGCATCCGTCCCAGTCCTGGTGCTGCTGGGGTTGTCGGCCAGACAGCGGTACGTGGCCGAGTCTGGCGGCTGGACGCGGCTGACCTGCAGAGAGCCGGAAGGCAGCACCGCTAAACGGGAGTCGAGGTCAAAGGTCAGTGGTAGGTCTTCTCGGTTCTTCTGCCAGCGAATGACGGGCGTCGGGTCACCCGAGACCTCACAACGCAGCAGGGCGGTGTCGCCGAGGTACGAGGAGACAGACTCGGTGGGGACAACCACCTTCAGAGGACCTGGAGGGAGGCGAGAGAGGGACGGGTTTATAAAGAGAAGAATGTATTGATAGAATTCACTCAGCGTAAATCTACATATTTTATTGACTGTTTCTTTGACTCTTGCCTAAAGCGTCCTGTTTTCACCGCATGCAGTGATTTTTCATTTTGACCGTTGGTTGTAACAGGGAAAAGCAAACTGAAAGCAGTGATCCACAACAACACCAACGCAGGGGAATCAGGAATGTCAACTGAACACAACTAAGCTGAACTCGGTCCAGTTCAGAAGAAGGCTGAGCTGTAAAGAACACAGCTGAGCGGTACTAAAATGTATTTATATAAACTATGTGGAACTGTCAAAAATGATACTGTATTGAACCGGACTCTACTGAACTGCACTGTTTCAAACTGTCCTGAATAGTCAATAATACCGGTAGAATTGAGAACTGTGCTAAAGTGTAATGTTGTGTACTGTACTGACGGGAAGTGAATGGCCATTACTTTGATCACTAATACCACTACTTCTGTCTTAACTACAGTACTTTAATCATTACTAATGGAAATACTTGTACACCTAAATCTACTAAAACTACTGCTGTCAGTAGTGCTGTTAGTACTGCTGTCAGTGCTAATGGTGCTCCTGCGTCAGAGACAAAAGACACACAGCAGCAGCAGGGGGCAAGAAGAAGACGTGAGCTGACAGTAAAGGCTTTTCAGGTCAACAAGAAGAGAAGTGAGGCACAGCAGGTGTATTTGTGTGAGAAAGAGACTCTGAACAGCGGGAGGACGGATGAAAGTCAGACAGAAAGCAAGAAGGACAGAAAGACAGGGATGGCGTGGACAGGCAGTGTCCAGTCGGCTGTGTTTAGGACACACGTTGTTTCCTGTCTGGTCAGATTCACTTCAACCACAAACAGCCTGTAGCCACGTAAACACATGACCCTGCTGACAGCCAGCTCACTCCTCTCTCACACTGAAAAGCCCGGTTATTTTATCATCTGACGCTCACTCTCTGGGAGGGGTTCACATGGGCCCATTAGTCTTTTTCTACGGGGGTCACTGATCCATCAAAGTGAACATAATATAATACTGTGAAAATTGCTTTCATTACAAAGCACAGTTAATCTTTCTTCCTAATACTTTTGTGAGGCTTCTCTGTTTGCCTTTCAACCTCATGTTGACAACAAGACTCTGAGAAGTCACTAGTCCTGGCAGGTGGCGAGAAATATTTCCAGCACGTACGTTAGATTATGACTAGATAAGATAACTTTACAAATCCCAGAGGGGAAACTACTTTGGTTGCCCATGCACAGTCAGAAAATAAAAAGAGACAGTGCGTAGGTGTCTCCGTCATTCTGCAATTACACCCCCAAACCCTAGTCGGCAGTAGCGCTAGTGTCCACTGTGTCGACTTTTGCCGGCCGAGCAGGCTAACTTCCGGTTTAGCCCTCAGCTAACATGAATGGGAGTAAAATTTTATATACATGTGGCTGGTATAGTCTTTTTAAATGTTATCGACAGAGTGGATCACATTCTGATAGTGAAACCAGTCATTTCGCTCAGGTTGTGACGGTCAAATATATCGATCCACTGTGCTACAGCCGCCGTTTTGGCAGCTAGTAAAAGTCACTTCAAAGCACGGGCACTTCCTTTCCGCTCAGAGGCATTGCGAGGCTACCCAGCCGACCAATCACAGTGCTTACGGTCTGCATCGACTCGACGTGTAGTTACATTTTTGAGGAGGTGCACGTCAGGCAACGGCGTAGCCCTGTAGCCTATGCCATCACCTACAGTGTTGATTCGACGCAGAAGTATAAATTACACTTAATGACACATTCCAAGAGGACATTAGTGTGGCTCAGGAGCCCGTCCAGATACCAAATTAATAAACAAAGTAGGCAACTTGAAATGTACTATTGCCAGATAAGAGCGAACTGTAAAGGTTTTAATTTAGTTCAAGATAAACAGTGAGACAGCAACTAAACTCTAAAAATGAGAGACCAGCATTGATTCTGCCCTTGATCTTGGCAGGCAATTGGGCCTTTTTTTTGTGGCATTTCTTGGCTTTGTTTGGGAGCACAAGAATAAAGATTACAAAAAACGAGGAAAAAGGGAGAAGCAAGAAAGATCCAACTGGATTCAAACCAGGGACATTCCGGTTTATGGATGGCGTCTCAACCCCTAAGCCATGGCACACTTTGAGTCAAACCCTGGATCGATAAAAGTAATTTATTTTCTTATATGCAGTATTTAGTTCCTTAAATTTCTAGAAAAGGGATGTTTTATAAGCAAATTCTGTGTCTTTTAAAAATTATATTTGGAGAAAAAACATTGCATTTTGCTTTGCAGTTTTGACACACTAGCAATGTTTCGCTGCTCATGTTTTAAAATTTAGTGTGGTTATGAACAAGTTTCTAAATCACAAGAGTCCCAAATATCTTTCAGCATATGAATCTTCGTGAAGACTTTTCAGCTAGGGAAGAGAGAGAAAAATAAATGCATTTTGGAGTCTCATTTTCCTCGCAGTTTGTGTTATGTTGTTTTCATGCTGGTTTGACTCTCCGCCGGGAAACTTTAACTCTGACACAAACACTAACTTTCTCTTTCTGTTCTGTAACATTAGAAAGGCTTCAGTTTGACTCTTGAATCGGGGGACGAGCCGCCACTGGATGCAAGTTTATTCGTCTTCACAGCAGCCAGGACTTGAGCCGCTGTGACATCACACAGATTGGAGGCGACAGGAACGCTCATGTGAATTTGTATTGTGTGTCTTATATAAGTTCGGCTGCTGTCTGTTCCTATGTGGATCACAATGCTGCCTACAGCTGCACACACACAGTCTTGTCTTTGTCACTTGTGAGGACACTGTATTGATGTAGATTTCATTCCTGGAGGCTTAACCTAACACTTCAGTGTAACTGCTGAACATCTAATCTATACGTCCTAAACAAGCGCTTTTCATCTTAACCCCAGAAAAGTCTTGTGTTTGTGTGGACTTGCCATTGGTCCCCACAAGTGTTGTGAGTCCTCATAATATTGGTGTGTGACTGGTTTTTTGTCCCCATGGGATAAATACACGAGGTACTCATGCAGTATAAATACATGAAGACACTTTGTGCAGCAACTTCCCAGAATGTGACAATTTCCCATGAAGCCTATCAAGAGCTTTGCCTTACGGCTCAGCTCTCTTTTCGTCACAACGGTGCGGTAAAGTAAGTGCAATACCGCCCCTGCTGCTCTGTATCTCCTGCTCCAGTCTCCCCTCACTCATGAACAAGACCCCAAGGTACTTGAACTCCTTACTTGGGGTAAGGACTCATTCCCTACCTGGAGTTGGCACTCCACCCGTTTCCTGCTGAGAACCATGGCCACAGATTTAGAGGTGCTAATCTTCTTCCCAACCGCTTCGCACTCTGCTGCGAACCGATCCAGTGAGAGCTGAAGGTCATGGACCGATGATGCCATCAGGACCACATCATCCGCAAAAAGCAGTGACGAGATCCCAAGCCCACCGAACCGCAGCCCCTCTTCGCCAAGACTATGCCTCGATATCCTGTCCATGAATATCACAAACAGGATTGGTGCAGCCCTGGCAAAGGCCAACCCTCACCTGGAAAGAGTCCGACTTACTGCCGAGTACTCTGACACAGCTCTCGCTTTGGATGTACAGGGATTGGATAACCCTAAGAAGGGCCCCCCTAACCCTATACTCCCGCAGCACCTCCCACAGTATCATGCACATGTAGACTGGATGGGCATACTTCCTTTGCCACTGTGGAGTTGTTTGACTACCTCAGTGACTTCCTCCAGGAAAATTGACGAGAAACTCTCATCAGCCTCCAGCTCTGCCTCTACAAGAAAGGGCGTGTCAGTCGGATTTAGGAGTTCCTCAAAGTGTTCCTTCCACCGCCCAATTACCTCCCCAGTTGAGGTCAACAGGGTCCCATCCTTACTGTACACAGCTTGGACGGTTCCCCTCTTCCCCCACCTGAGATGGCGGACAGTTCTCCAGAAACACTTTGGTGCCGACCGAAAGTCCTTCTCCATGTCTTCTCCGAACTTCTCCCACACCCGCTGCTTTGCATCTGCCACAGCAGAGGCTGCAGCCCTTCGGGCCTTTCGGTACCTTGCAACCGCCTCCGGAGTCCTCTGAGACAACAGATCCCGGAAGGCCTCCTTCTTCAGTTGGGCGGCCTCCCTGACCACCGGTGTCCACCACGGTGTTCGAGGGTTACCGCCCCTTGAGGCACCTAAGACCTTGAGACCACAGCCTTCCGAACAGGCTTTGAACATTGCCCACTCATGTTCAATGTCCCCAACCTCCACAGGAATGCCAGAACAGCTCCGCCGGAGGTTTGAGTTGAAGATCTCACGGACAGGGGCCTCCTCCAGACGTTCCCAGTTCACCCACTACACTTGTACACTTATGAGCATCCTTATGCTCGAACATGGTGTTCGTTATAGACAATACATGACTAGCACAGAAGTCTAACAACAAACACCCACTCAGGTTCAGATCAGGGGGGCCGTTCCTCCTGATCACACCTTTCCAGGTATCTACATCATTGCCCACATGCACGTTGAAGTCTCCCAGCAGAACTATGGAGTCCCCTACTGGAGCCCCATACAGAACTCCATTCAGGTTCTCCAAGAAGGCTGAGTACTCTGAATTGCTGTTTGGTGCATATGCACAAACAACAGTCAGAGTTTCCTCCCCCCACTACCCAAAGGCGTAGGGAGGCGACCCTCTCGTTCACCGTAAGACGTAGTGCTCAGCTGGGGACTTGTGAGTATCCCCACACCCGCCTGGCGCCTCAAACCTTGAGCAACTCCAGAGAAGAATAATGTCCATCCCCTATCAAGGAGTACGGTTCCAGAACCGAGACTGTGCGTGGAGGTCAGCCCCACCAGATCTAACTGGAAGTGCTCCATCTTCCGCACAAGTTCCGGCTCCTTCCCCCACAGAGAGGTGACGTTCCATGTCCCCAGAGCCATCCTCTGCTTCCCCGGTCTGGTCCGTC